TGCAAAAGACTTCTTTAAAATATTAAAAAAACAAAGATGTTACTTTGAGGACTAAGGTGGGCCTAACCCAGCTCTTGTGTTTTTTAATCACCTCATATGCATGTGAAAACTGGAGAATCAATAAGAAAGGCAGAAAAATTGATGAATTTGAATTATGGTGTTGGTGAAGAATACTGACAATACCACGGACTGGCAGAAGAACCAACAAATCTGCCCTGGAGGAAGTATAGCCAGACTGTTCCTCAGAAGCTAGAATGGCCATACTTCATCTTATCTGCTTTGGCCATGTTCACCAGTTCCTGGAGAAAGATATCCTGTTTGGTAAAGTAGATGGCCAGTGAAAAGGGGGAAGACCTTCAATGAGATGGATTCACACAGTGGCTGCAATGATGGGCTCAAGTATAGCAAGAACTGTGAGGATGGCACAGGACCTGGCAGTGTTTTGTTCTGTTGTGCACAGGGTCACTATGAGTTGGAACTGACTTGACAGCACCTAACAACAGCAATTCCTCGGAAGGAAGGTTGGGCAATCCTACTTCCGTAGTGATACTGCCTCAGAAACCCAAGGAGGGGTCGCTATGAGTCGGGGCCGACTCGACGGCACATAACAACAACAACAACAATTACTATTATTATTATATTATTTTTGGAATTCTCACTATATGTCAGGTAAAAGAATAAGTATTCTATCTATAAGGCCTTAATCACAATTGTATCTCCAACACCACCATTGTTTTCTGCACATATTGAACATATAATAAGTATATGATGACAAATGAATGTAGCCTTCTTGCCCTCAAACAGCTTACATTTTAATGGGAAGACAGATGAACAAATGAACAAGGAAATTCCAGAGACTACTTGTTAATGGAGAAAATAAAACCTAACCTAAAACCATTGCTGCCCAGTCATTCTGACTTATATGAGCAGAGCTGAACAGTTCCATAGGGTTTTCAAGGTTGTAATCTTTACAGAAGTAGATTGTCACATCTTCTGTGAAGCTGCTGATGGATTTGAACCACTGATGAAAATAAAACAGAATTAATACCACATACTAAGCAGTAGTTTGCAAATTTTGAGGGTTTTTTTTTTTTTTAAATCTGTGGAGTTAAAGGATCCATCAGCACAGCTTAGTGTTAGATTTAGTGCTGAAAGCGCAATTATCAGGAAAAAGATTCCCTGGGTTGACAACCCTTTTCTGTCACTATGTAGCTCTAGAGAAATAACCTCTCCAGTCTCATTCTCTAACATCACCCACCTCATGAGGTAGGTCTGAGGGTTAAAAGAGTTGTTATGCCAAGTGTCTGGCACTGTGCCTGGCACCCTGGTAAGCGTTCAGTAGATGCTAGTAATCCTTATCAGTGGTCAGGTTAACTCACCTGGCGCTATAGGGCACGTAAGAACTTCAGGGCCCTGAGCCCACGCCTAGATGTAGGCTTTCCCACCCAAGGCAGGTATTAGAGCAGGGCTGCGCTGGACAAACTTTTGACCTTGAGTTGAGGACCTAGGAGCGCTAGGTGCCCACTTTCCGTTCGCGAAGGCTGAGATGGGGCAGGGGGTGAGGACAGGGAGCTAGCGTGAGGGACAGGCGTCCAGCACCCGCCCCCAGGCGATGCCTCGAGGGCTCGACCAATTGACCTCTGACGCCCTGTGCCAGCGGGGGACGGGCTGAGCGCTCCTACTGTGCGGGCCCCTCCGAGTAGCGGTTCGCTGCGGAGCCCACGCGAGACCGCGGCTATTCAGCGCTCCTCGCCCCGCCTCCAGTCTGATGGTCTCCGGCCCCGCGCTAGGCCTCCGGAGGGCACAAGAGGCGATTGGCAGGGAGGGGTGCGAGAGGCGCGCGGGCGGGGGCGGAGAAAGGGCGGACACATGCGCACAGGCGGCGCGGCCGGCACGCGGCGCTCGCGCTCCCTGCTTAAATGAGCCTCGGCTCCCCGCGCCCACCACTTCGGTGGAGCCCGAGCTGCGACCGCGGGCTTGCGGCTGTGGGAGCTGTGTCCCGAGGCAGCCCGCGCCGGTCCCTTCCGTCGCATCAATACTTCTCGGCTCCAGGGCGGTCGATGGGACGGAGTGCCGTGGGGCAGGAGGCGGCGCCCGTCGAGGGGCTCGGGCAGCGCGGGAGCCCGCCAGAGGGCTGGGAGATGGCGGGCCGCAGGACCTGAACCCTGTCCTGAGGGAAGGGAGCCTGTGGCCGGCGATGGAGACGGAGCGAGGTTCCCGCTGCGTTGGGCCGTGAGCGCCGCGTCGCCTCCTCGCCGCCACCACCGCCGCCGTCAGCCCTTCGCGAAGCGCCGAGCTGTTCAGGAACATGGCCCTGAAGCAGTTCTGTTCGGTCCTCAAAGGTAAGCGCCCGGGGTTGTGGACGGCGCCCCCTGCGGGTCGAGGCCGGTGCCCGCCCTGCTGGTTTCTTTGCATCCCTTCCTCTCGTTGGGGTTCTAAACGCGACTCTTTGTCTGGACGCGGCTCGTGGTGACTCCGAACGGACAGCTGAGCTTTCCCCCCTTTGCCCCGATTGATTTGCTTTTCAAGTGCTTGTTCTCGAGTCTGCCGAGTGTCTGGCAAGCTTTTGTAGGGGACTAACGGGATCTTGGGATAAAATCGAGAAACGGCGACCGGGAGGCCCTTTGGCATCTCCGCGGGGACCCTGCGAGCTGTGTCCTCGCGCCCCTTTGGGCTCTCGCTTTCCCTTAGAATTTCGCACATCTCTTTGCAAAGTTGTGAGATTTTTTTTTTTTTTTAATGGAGCCGAGACCGGTCCTTTTTAAAATTTATTAGCAAAAAGTAATTCTACATAAACAAAAGCTCCAACCAAGACGTCGTGGAGCAGTTGTTGAAAACCCCGAGGCCCCGCCCCCGCGCCGCGGCGGGTCTTGGGGCGCCGGCCGGCGTCGGGACCTCGCCGTGGCAGGCGGCTGGATGGGCCTGCCCGCGCGATTCCAGGTCCCACCTGCTACGGCCGTGGAGGCTGCGGCACCACTGCGGGCTCCGGGGGCGGCACTGACCCGGCTCAGGCCGTGGCCCCGGGCAGCGCCCCAGGCACCTCCCGGGACTCGCCGCTCGCTCGCCGGATTGACACTCCTCCAGCTCCCTCAAAATACCCTGCCCCTGGTGTTTGACTCCCTTTCGGATTTGTGGTACCGGGAATTCGGTCAGATTGTCAAGTGCAAAAAGCTCTAAAACATACTATAACTGTTTTGTATTGCCCAGATGGTGTTATTTTATATAAAAACCTATGTTCATAGATAATTAAAATTGTGATACAAAGTTGCTTGTGAAACTTGAAATGAATAAATTCTTATATTTTCAGTCCTCAGAGGAAAACAGCACAGCACAATAATGGGTTTCCCATTTCTCCCTTCTGATTTTCATTGAGAAGTGCATATCTGTAATTTATAATGTTTTAAAATACTTTCTTTTTTTTAATGAAGGGAGAGTTTTAAGGCAGTGTACTGGTAGTGTCGTATATAGGTTATTGTACCTTGGTATTTGTACACTGACAAGTTTTGGATTTTCCTTTTCCACCTTTCTATAAATGTTTTATTGGAAAATTCTGTATAATTTGGCTGTAAATTTAAAGGGACAAATTTTCAACTCTAAATATTCCTAAATTCATAATCAAAATTTTAGCAAATTACCTGCTGGACTATATACTCCCGTATATAGCTTGTTCTTAGGTAATTCAGAATCTCCTAGCTGGTGAATATTTCACAATCAACCTCTAAGTTCTTAGTGATTCCTTCTTTATATTAGAAAACTCAAATTAATCCCGGGGTTTTTCGTATCTGTAATTCCTAATTTATATAGTCATTCCTAGGGGTGTAAGATTTTGTTTCACTCTTTCACCATGAAGCATAAGCGCAGTAGGATTTCTGGTAGTGGTGTTTTTCTGACTTTTATTTCCTTGTTCTGATTGCTGCACCCACCATCGTAATGACAGTTCATCTAAGAGAAATTTCTCTGGAGAGAAATCATGGTACATACGTTATTCAGCTTTACATGCAGAACTTAATAGGACCAGTCTCCGTACATACTCCTGGAGTGGTGAATGGATTTGCAGCTTTTTTGCCTTTGCCTTTTATTGTTGATACACACTGCCCCCTTTGGCTACCGCGGAATAGCACTTAGTTGTTGCACCTTGGAAGAAAGGATTCTATGGTGATGGCAGAGCTACCGTGAAAACAATGTAGTATCTGGCTTTTCTTTTTTTGTTACCCAACTTACACTATTTTTACATACTGGAATATCTTGAAAGCTCAAGCTACATTTTTGATGTGCTGTGCGGTCTACTAGAGAGAAAAAGCAAGCTATTTTTAAATCTTTTATAAAGTTCTGTATGCTTGTAAATGCAGTAAATTAGTCTGGAAGGATTCAAGAAATTCTTAACAGTAATTGATTCTGAGAAGAAAAATCTGGGGGTGCTGAGAGACAAAGATGAAGGGAACACTTACCTTTCGCTGTATACCCATTCGTATCACTTGATTTTTTTTTTCTTTACCAAGTATGTGGGTTACCTAAACAAAGAACAAAATTATTAATTTTAAAAACTTCCCCTTTTAAAAAATATGGGCCTTTTCTTCTGTGTACTAGTTACTGTGTGCATCATGGCATGGAAAAGTATCCCTTAAGTATCCTGTAAAGGGAATTGCTTCATTGAGGAGAGTCTCATCTGCAGCAGTTATTTAACATTAGCTTAATAGTACCTACCAAACGCTTTGTTTGGATTATTATGGTCAATTTCTACTAAACTCAGCCATAATGAGTGTTTGAGATTTTAAGTAAAAGGTAATTTTAGTTAAGGTGCTGTTAGTTCTTGTTTCACTTTCAGCAGTGAGGACAAAAGGGTAACTCTACTAGACTTTTTTAAACCTTTCACATATTGTTGTAGCTGAATAATTCACTTTTAACTCTTTAGCATCACTCCAGGTCACATAAGGCAGCTCTAGTGGTGTAATGCCTAAGGCATTTGACTGCTAACCACACGGCTGGCGGTTCAAACCCACCAACCACTCCTCAGAAGGAAGACTGGGCCATCTACTTCTGTAGAGATACTGGCTTGGGAAACCCAAGGAGGGGTTGATGTGAATTGAAATCAACTTAACAGCAGTAAGTTTGGTTTTATTTTTGGGGGGGTCTCATAAAATTTGACTTGCCTATTGTCAAAATCAAATAACCATCAGCATCACATGAAACATTACATTAGGATTATAATGTTTTTGTTGTTCTTATTTGCTCTGCACATTTACCCCAGGAGAATTCTGTTAAACTCAGCTAGATTTAAGGCTGAATAATCTATGGTTAAATTTATGATGTAACAACAGAAATATCCCTTGATACCATATACCAAAATCTTGTCTGACTCTGTGACAGCCCTTAACTCCTATTCTTCATTCTTAAACTTTATCCAGGAAACTAAACTGTAGCTACACCCTCTTCTCCCTTATTGACATGATTAGGTTCTAAAGACCAGGTCGTTTTGTGAAAGTTGGCATTTTGCAAAAATGAAGGATGATTATGTTGTTGTTGTTATGTGCCGTCAAGTCGGACTCGACTAATAGCGATCCCTCCTTGGGTTTCCGAGGAAGTATCACTAAGGAAGTAGATTGCCCCATCTTCCTTCTGAGGAGTGGCTGGTGGGTTTGAACCGCCAGCCTTCTAGTTAGCAGTCAAGTGCCTTAGGCACTATGCTACCAGAGCTCCCGAAGAATGATTATATAAGATCACAAAATGGAGGATGACTTTATCATCACATAACTACCAAATGACATCATTACATAACTTCTAAATTACATTATCATGTAACTGCCAAAACCACTACTAAGCATGACCCAGCCCAGTTGATACATAATCTTAACCATCATAGCCAGTGTTATTCTCACCTTGTACCTCAGTATTTGTTACCTGCCATAAATAACATAATTAATGCAAAAAGTAGATCATGGATATTTTACCATTGTCGTGAGAAATGTCACATAACAAGATGGTCAATGAGTGAGGAGAGTATATATACAGAAGGATGGTACTGAAAAGCAGTCCTTTTAATAGTAAATGTTTTAAACACAACTGTGTTAGAAATCAACTTTCTGTTTTTTCATAACTGATTGTTGTTAGGTGCTGTCAGATTGGCTCTGACTCACAATGACCCTATGTACAGCAGAACAAAACACTGCCTGGTCCTGTGCCAGCCTCACGATCTTTAACAAAACTGAGCCTGTCGTTGCAGCCACTGTGTCAATCCATCTCGTTGAAGGGCCTTCCTCTTTTTCATTGACCTTCCACTTTACCAGGCATGATATCCTCCAGGGAATGGTCCCTTCTGACAACATGACCAAACCCTGTATTAAGCCTGACAATTGAAAAGTCTTATTAAGTGATGGTTTTATTATAGTAAATGCTCAAATAACTAGTATTCAAATATATGTATATTTTGAAACAAAGCTCACTGTTTAGGAAAACGTGTTTTTGTTTTTAACTATACATACTTGGATTACAAAGCAAGTTCTAATCAAAGTCACTCTCGGTCCTTTTTGGAATGATAGACCAAATAGAATTTATTTATATCTAATTTTAAAAAATAACGATCCAGAATCACTCTTGAAATATACTACTGAGTCAGCATGTTGTCGTTGTTATGTGTAGTCGAGTTGGACCTGAGTCATAGCGACCTCTCTTTGGGTTTCCGAGGCAGTATCACTACGGAAGTAGATTGCCCCATCTTCCTTCCGAGGAGTGGCTGGTGGGTTTGAACCACCAGCCTTCTGGTTAGCAGTCAAGTGCCTTACGCACTACGCTACCAGAGCTCCACTGAGTCAACATAATCTCCTGTAATTTTTCTATTTATATCCTGCAAAATTTACTTATTACTAACTATGGGAGCTCTGGTAGCATAGTGCCTAAGGCACTTGACTGCTAACCAGAAGGCTGGCGGTTCAAACCCACCAGCCACTCCTCGGAAGGAAGGTTGGGCATTCCTACTTCCATAGTGATACTGCCTCGAAAACCCAAGGAGGGGTCACTATGAGTCGGGGCTGACTCGATGGCAAACAACAACAACAACAACTATTGATTGGGAGCTCTGGTAGCGTAGTGCCTAAAGGTACTTGACTGCTAACCAGAAGGCTGGCGGTTCAAGCCCACCAGCCACTCCTCAGAAGGAAGATGGGGCAATCTACTTCCTTAGTGATACTGCCTCGGAAACCCAAGGAGGGGTCGCTATGAGTCGGGTCCGACTCGACAGCATATAACAACAACAAACAACAACAACTATTGATTAAAAATGTGGCCCTAAGGTCCTTTGGAGGAGCTCTGGTAGTGTAGTGTTTAAGGCACTTGGCTGCCAACCAAAAAAGCTGGTAGTTCAAACCCACTAGCCACTCCTTGGAAGGAAGTTTGGGCAATCTACTTCCGTAGTGATACCGCCTCAGAAACCCAAGGAGGGGTCACTATGAGTCAGGTCCGCCTCCATGGCACATAATAACAACAACAACAAGGTACTTTGGAATATCAATTATGTGGTCTTTGAGTTGGAATGGGTGAAATCGTAAGTGGTGACCTAATCCAGTGGTTTTCAAACTTTCCTTAGAAACAGAATCTCCCCTTCAAAATAAAAACAACAATAATAGATAAAAACAAGGCAGCTCTGATGAGTGGGGGCCTTAGCCTCTACATCACCTCAAACAACAGAGTGGCCCCAAAAGAACAGATACTCTCCAGTATGCCTATTCTGTCACTTATAAAATTACAGAGTATGCTGATCTGAAAGTTCAGTTGTTTTCCTAATCAAAATGACATTAAGACATGTTAGCCTAAATATGCCTAGAATAATATATTGGAAATTACAGCACTACTGGGTGAGGAGAAGATAGCAAATGGTTTTTAAAATGTGCCCTGGTCATACTAAAATACAATGGAAGTTGCTGTGGCTGTCAGAGGAGGATACCTGGTAGTTAAAGTAGAACAGCATAAAAATGTGCCATCTCTAGAACACTTTGGTTAACAAAGAGATTGTCACTGTGCAGGAAAGAGAAGGCACGTCTGCTACTGAGGTACTCTTTCTTACAAAAATGATTGGCATTGTGATCCCAAAATCTACCAGGTTCTATCTTCTTTCTTAACTCTAATAAGTAAGATTGAGTTTGATTAAATTTGGGT